TCAGAAGGTCAGAGAGGGCGGGTTACCCTGTATATAGTCTGAGCAAATCAAGACAGGAAAGGAGAGGTGGTTAAGGGGGAGGTGGAGGGATCAGGCAGAGCCCGACAAGACGTGCTTGAGGCAGAGAAGATCAAGCGCTTCAACAGCAGCCTTTTAAAAAGCCAGCAGATTTCCAACTTCCTCACAACAGATTTCCAACTTTCTCACAGTCTTGACTCCTCTGACCCGTCTAAAGATGTTATTGATAAGGAAAAAAACCATCATCAAAATGAAAAGGCAACCTATGGAATCCGTGGAGAAGGAAAGGAAAGAAATACTCTGAGTGGGAGGTGCAGTGAGGGTGTCAGGTGGCACCCTAAGGGCCGGCCTTCAGGACAAGGTTGGTTCTGGTCTTAGATTTCTGAAAGGCGGACAAGGCCCGAGATTTTTGCCATCCCCTGCCCGTCTATTTGTCATGCTGCTCTGCGTGTTACCTATGAAGATCCAACATCAATGCAAGAGGATCAATTCCTATTCCAGAGCTAGATATAAGCTCAGCGGTAAGAGGGTGACAAGAACTAATGGGACTGCTGCCGTCACTCCCCTGCGGGATGGAGAAACATCTATTATGACCTGGCATGTATTTTCTCCTTTTCTGATAAATGCCCTCAAATTTTTTCCTGAGGAATCAGCCTTCCTCCACACCCATTCAACAGATTTTCTGGGGTGTGTACCACCACCACAGAGTCAGTCCTCAGGCTGAGGTATCAGCAGTGAACAACACTGACGCAACAAAAACACCCGCTCTCACGGAACTTACATTCTAGGGACTCAGCCCCTGTGTTTCAGGCAGAGATGACGCCACCCCTGACTTCGTGGCCCAGGCCCAGCCAGTCACAGTAGGAAATCCCCATGGCCGTGGTGCCTGGTTCAAGGAAAAGCATGAGACCCACACTCAGCCAATCCTGAGGCTTTTCCCACAGTGATCAGAAGGGAAGCACTCTCTTTTCCCTTCTTGAACTAGAAGACAGAAGCTTTAAGGAGTCGCCATGGAAGGAACCTACTTCTGGCTTAATAAGCAAGAACGGAACACAAGGGCAAGTAGAGTGAAGACAGAGACAAAGTGAGCAGGCTGCAGTGACATCGTTGGAATCCCTAAAAGAAGCCGTGTCTGAAACAGAACACCCAGGAACTGCTAGGGTATAGAAGCCAATCAATTATTTCTTCTTCCTTCCTTCCTTCCTTCCTTCCTTCCTTCCTTCCTTCCTTCCTTCCTTCCTTCCTTCCTTCCTTCCTTCTTCCTCCCTCCCTCCCTCCCTCCCTCCCTCCCTCCCTCCCTCCCTCCCTCCCTTGTTTCCTTCCTTCTCTTCCTTCCCTCTTCCTCCTCCTCCTTCTTCTTCTTCCTCCTCTCTCTTTTTTTGCTTAAACTACTTTAAGATGTTTTTCTCCTTTTAGCATCTTAGAAGAGCCTTAGTTAATATACAAAGTATTTTTTAGGAAGCCTAAACAGAACTAGGCAAGCCAGGGTCCTGTTAGTTCCACGGCTAGCAAAGCTTTCCTCAAGCCCGGAGTCACAGAGGTCCCAGCCCCAGGCTGACCCCATTCCTCAGATGACATCCTCACACACCCCGTGCTGGAGCCTGTGGTTAAACCTGCTCCCCGCTTCTCTTTCCTGAGACCTCGAGCCTTCTGTCGACGAAAAAAAATTTGTCAGGAATGACAGGAAACTCCGCTCTTCCATAACCCGCTGCTCTTTCTCGGCTCCCGTGACCCGCTTATAAAACTGGAAACTGACAGATGGCCCCGGGTTTGATGGATGGGCCCGGGGAAGCCGGACGTTGGGCCCTCCCTTAAATGAGACTTCACATTGTCCTCATTTTTATGTTTTCCGCTGTACAGTTTCATTCCCACCGAGGAGTTCACAGCAAAACTTCTGCCCTGAGGGGTGTTGCCTTTTGAACTAGACCTCAAAGTAGTAAGGAAATGGAACAAACTCGGAGGTTTTCTATTTTTCTTTCTTCTAGGAAAGAGAGGCAAAATAAAGCTGGTTTCCTGAAATTACTCATGAAAGTAAACGCTCCATGTGACAAAAATGATAAGGACTTCTCCAGGAACCAAAGAGGAAAAGCTCCTGGGGAGGCGGCGTGGGTCACTGGCTCCGAGAGATCACAGGATTCGTACCTGGGAAGTTTCTGAAGCAGGAAAAGCAGCTTCACAAGGCTGGTTCCCAGGGTGACTTCCCCAGGCTCTTGGAGATAAAGGGGTGATTTTAAGATCATCTTTTCCCCCATCTGGGTCTAAACCAACTAAGGGTTTTCCATTCTCCACTCAGCGCCAATTGCCTGAGGGCCCACTCTGTCCAACGTCCCCAGTGGGAAGGAGGAGAGTCAAGAAAGGTGTACCAACGGCTTTCCTTGAAGAAACTCAGTCAGATAGGGCAGCAGAGAAATAAACTTATTAAACAAACTCACAATGGCTAAAGACAGAGGGGCTTAAAGAAGATACTAAGGATGAGGAGAGAGGGTCAGGAAAGGCTCCCACCAAAAACACAAGACAATAAGAACAGAGAAAATAGTGGAGGTGGGTCCTGACAGGTGGGTAGGAGTCCACCAGTCCACAAGGAAGAGAAGCCCCCAGGTGGGGGGAAAGATGGCATTGCAACATCATATCTGATACATGTGATGACTGACTATTTGGGAAACACAAATCAGAATATGTGTTTTCAAATAAGAATTAGGATATTCGGAGTAGTCACGTTGGGATATGATACGCTAATTTCAAGGATATTACTTCTGCTCAATTTCTAGGTTTCATCATTTACATCATTTAGAAAAGCTTCAGTGTCTTCTGAAGATGAATGCTTTTTGTATTTTTTTGTTTTTTGTTGGTATTTTTTTTTAACATTTAAAAAAATATATTTTTATTGATTTCAGAGAGGGAGAGGGAGAGAGAGAAACATCAATGAAGAGAGAATCGTCGATATAGGCTGCCTCCTGCACACCTACACTGGGGATTGAGCCCCCAACCTGGGCTTGTACCCTGGTGGTAATCAAACCATGACCTCCTGGTTCATAGGTCAAGGCTCAACCACTGAGTCCCCACGGCCAGGCTACGGACGTTTTTGGCCAACTCTGGTGAACACAGTCAATGATCAAGCCTGGAAATATTGATTTAGGTAAAAAAAAAAAGTAGTAAGGTATCATGTACTGATGCAGGTTTTCTTGAATTAGCTAACCACAAGAATTCAAAAAAAAAAAAAATTAAACAATGAAAGAAGCCTTAAAATAAGGAAGTAACTTGACTATGTCATAGCTAAGACCTATTCGGAAGAGACACCCAAGTTGAATCTTGAAGGTTCAACAAGAATTTTGTAAGCAGATAATGGTATAGATTTTGGTATGTTTGTTTTTGAAAGGTTCTCAGTAGTCACAGCTCCTAAGAGTTAGAAAATGGGGTTGAGGCATACTTTATCCCACTTCTTGGTCCAGACTCTCTCTTAATAGCTGCCATTTAAATTAAAAGAAAAAGAAAAAGAAAAAGGTGGAATATGATATTCTACTGAAGTAAGAAAACTGCTTTCTTAGCAAAATTGGTTACATTCAATACCAATGCATGATGGTAGTAGCTTTTATTGATAAACCATGCTGTATAACAGCTTCATTATCTCTTATTTAACTACAAAGGATAACCCAATTTGAGTATCAACAGAAAGAATGACTAAGTCAGCATAACCAAATACAGTGGCCATAAGAAATTTCCACAAGCTATTTGATTAGTTCACCCCCATTTAGAGGAAAACACATCATTTAATATATTTGCCAGCTTTGTTCCTAAAATGTTTCCAAATTGAGTCTTGCAAATGTAATAAAAATTTTAATGCTAAAGAATTCCTAAAAGGATTTATTCTCAACACTTAAAATGTACTTTTAAAAGCACACGCATGTTTGCCTTGATTTTCCAAAATTAACATACCTATTCAAATATGTTAGTATAAAGAAAATCTACTTCCTGGCCCCAAATTTACACAGTATAAATTAGCTAACTTCTAAGAATCACCTCAAAGTGCCTAATTTTCCTCTGTGAACTTAGGTGTGCCATACTGGTTTTGGCTGACTTTTGTATAAATAGGATATTCCTGCCACTTACATACCTCTAATGAGTTTAGTGTTTATTTTATTGTTTAATTTCAGTTCTCTGTTGAAATGTAACATGCAATGTTACATAACATGAAATGTTATATAAAGAAAAGAAAGCTTTGGCATACTTTATGAGTTTGATTTAAAATTTAGGGACATTCATATCTATTTGTCTATGGTTAAAAATCTATTTAAAAACTCAAAATTCTCTAAGTGGCATGTACCCTAACAAACATGGAATCCATCCAGATGTATCTCCCACTTATAGTCCTCTACTCTGTTTAATTCCAAATGTTACTGCCATTGCTTTTTCCTTATTGTGTTACTGTGATGCTAAGAATTAAATCCCACACCATCTTGTGTGTAGACTGGCATCCATCATGTCACAAAGAAGGGAACATACAATAAAATTAAAGTGATTTTTCTTAGGGCCTGAAATTCATCAGCATTAAATGCAAAAGAATGCTGACTTGAGGCGCTCCATTCCCGGCAAAACCCGCATCAGCTAAGAGGCTGTTTACAGAGACTCACAACCAACAGCTGCTTTGCTCGTGTTAACAGTTCACAGGCTATAACGTGAAAAGCTAGATGGCAAAGCGTGATCGTTTCAATTTCCATTATAGTCAGTTAAACTATTTTCATATTATGATATTAGCAGAGTTGTGCAATTATGACATGAATACAGTTAAGTACAATTGATTCTCCTACTATATTTTTTAAAGATTCATCTTTCTATGACATTAGTGAAAAAAAATTAAAACCCAAAACATGTTATCTTAGCAAATCATATGTTTAACATCAAAACAATCATCTATCAGACTTATTTGTTAGAGTTTCAATATTCAACTGCTTGTCTGCATTGAAACATGTGAAAGTGTATCTGACCTGGAAGTACTTCTGACATGGGTCGCTGGACGTCAGCAATCGAGCAGGAAATGGGTTATAATGTGAAATCTGAAAAGAGGGATCATTTGAGAAATTAAAACTCCAAATAACAAAGCATATAAGGAAAAAAGCATATCATTGAAAATCCTTCCAACGCTGTTTAAAATGTTAAACAAATTTTGTCAGATAATGTCCAAATTTTTGTTTATTTAGTTGCTTATAACCACTTTTGGCTAAAATTTGAATTCCTGCTCAGTCACGTTTCCCAAAACATTTGTGATTATTATTATTTTTTTCATTCCAGGCTTATGTTTATCTATCTACCTATCTATCTATTTATCTAATATTTATCTAAAGTTTCCAATGCCTTCTCATTAAAAACACACAATTCAGAAGCCAAATAGGAAAAACAAAAAAAGGGTACATTTCACTATATAAAAATTTAAACCTTCTGTTTAGAAAAGAAAAAAAAAAAAGGCTCTAAACAAAGTAAAGACAAAAAAATGGGGGGGGGGGGGGGGGGGAGAGAAACCACCAAAAATGACATTAAAAAAGCTCACTTCCTTTACATAGAAAGAATGCCTTGAAATTATTAAGAAAAGTATGAGCAAATCTGTAGGAAAATGAGCAAAGAATAGGTACAAGTCCCAAGAGAAACACAAATGTCCAAAAAACGTATAACTATCCGCCCTTGAAACTAAAAAAAAATGCAAATTTAAATAATAATGATTTATTGGCTTTCCTATATTAGACTGCAAAGACTAAGAGGCTTGGAAACATATAACCTAAGGCAAGGACACTGGAAATAGGAGTCATTAAACCTTGCTGGTAGGAATAAAAACTGGCAAAACTCATTTAGAAATGTCCGAGCAAATTACAAATATATGAACCCTACTGCTCAGCAATTCCATTTCTAAGAATTTATTTTATAATTTAGAATATATATTTTATAATTATTTTATAAATCTTATAATTTATTTTGTATTGATTTCAGAGAGGAAGGGAGAGGGAGAGGGAGAAGGAGAGGAAGAGGTGACAGAAAGAGAAACATCAATGATAAGAGAGAATCACTGATTAGCTGCCTCCTGCACACCCCCTAATGGGGATCCAGATGGCAACCTGGGCATGTGCCCTTGACCAGAAATGAACTTAGGACCCTTTAGTCCACAGGCCGACACTCCATTTACTGAGCCAAACCAGCTATGGCAAGAATTTATTTTATAGACAAACTCACATGGATTCTATTGTTCTAAAAGCAAAGGATCGGTAACAACCTAACTGTTCCTCAGTGGACAGCTGGCTCATGCAATTATGATACTTCCACAGAATGGAGCACTGTGCGGCCAGTAGGAAAAATGAGGCAGATCTCCGTGAGTTGATGGGAAAGGGCTTGCAGACAGACCACTGAGAGGTGGATAAGCACGCACGGCCCAGCGTGACTGAATTTGAGTAAACTCCTTAAGGCATATACATGTGCATACACTCACACTTGTGCACATGCACACACTCTTGCATTTACACAGAACATTTCTTAGAGGCATATTAAAGAACTAAATATTACAGTGGTATACTGCCAGTTTACCAAACTAGCTGCATAATAAGGAAAACTGGAAACAGACCTTATTTTCAATGAGTTGCTATCAGAAGTGTCGCTTAGAATGATAATCTGCTTTATTAATTCAAATGCGGATCCTGCAGTAATTCCAATTATATAAAGTACAAAAACAGGAAAAACTTATCTATGTCAGGATAATGGTCTACCCTGGAGGGCAGGAAAGGGAGAGAACGCAGGAGGGCAGCCTCCAGGGTACTGTGATATAATGTCCTAGTTCTTGATCTGGATGTGAAAATCCACCAAGCTGTTCCCTCGTGCCCACATTTCTGTATGTTTATTACACTTCTGTGACATGTTAAAAAATAAAAGTCAAATATGGAGGCTTACTAAAGCATTATTTAAATGGAGACACCTTATACAGGGGTTAGCAAAATTAGTTTTACAGTGGTGAATACACAAAACACAGTTTATTCTTGTATTATTATTTAATAATTATTGCATTTATTTATTCGTAATACAACTGTAAAGCTACTTTTGCCCACCCCTGCATTTGCAAACACTAAATCCTACGCTAACCTTTCCAAACTGGTAACTTTTAGTGGGTATTACCTGCAACTTTATGATTCAGATAATGACCTGACAACCTGGCCTACTGGCCCACAATACATTTTTTAATCATATTTTCACATACTGTGGGTATGGCTCACTGCTCTGCTATAATTAAGAGGATGGGTTTATTTTTAACTGTCCTGAAACAGCAGGAGATGCTTCCTCTGTCGTCTTTGCTTTTGCCCTAAGCCTTTTTCAGCTCCTTAAACATACTTCCCAATTCCATTTTCCTTCTTTCTAGCTTTTGTCTTCAGTGCACCTTAAGTTATAAGCAGAGACAGATGTGTGGTGATAGGCATCCCGAGAAAATGAATACCAATCAGGTAGAAGAAAGCTCAGAAAAGGCATACTTACAGGAGGATTTTTGAAAGGGCTTGAACAAAAACCTCAACATCGGCATACTTTTTAGTATGCATAATTCTGAAAATAAAATATTCCCCTCCCCCCCAACACAAACAAACTCCAACGTCTATAAAGTTCAGAACTGGATAGTTTGCTAATCACTTCATATTTTAAATGGCCCCGTCGTATTATTGCCTGACCAATATTTATTCTGTATTCTCCATGGGCAGGGGATACTTTAGTGAACAAAAACACCTCACCCACTTTCCTTGTCAATGGCTATGAATCACGAAATTACTCAAATCAGTTTACACACACACTTTGAATCATTATAAAAGCCGTGTTAATTAAAATACATTTCATTTTCAAAACTGAGCTATCAGCTGTTAAAGAGTGTGTGTGTGTGTGTGTGTGTGTGTGTGTGTATTTGGGGGGGACACCCTGTATGTTTCAGAGGAAAAGAACTCTGAGAAAATATAACGATGGGGCATGAATACTTCTCTGAGAAAGTAAGACTCAACTGAAGTGGAGGACTAACTAGGATTTAGCTAGGTAAGTACTTACTAAACCCCTACTATGTGTAAGGCACTCCCCAGCCTGAGAATAAAGCACGAATATGCAGAGCTATTTCCCCCTAGGAGCTGGTATCCTTGATGAATAAATCTTTACCTTGTAAAAACAGTTTCCAAGGAGGTTGTGGCATGGACTAAGTCTAATCCTATCTAATAAAGAGGGAATATGCAAATTGACAGTCATGCCATCACAAAGATGGTGGCGCCCATAGCCACAAGGTGGTGGTGCCCAGTTCTCTCAGTCCTGCTGGAGTCTCCCAGTCCTTTCAGCCCCACGGGGGGTCAGGGAGTCCTTAGGGGAGTGGCAGGCCCGTGGTGCAGCTGGAACCGCCTGCCACCGGAGTCCCACAGTCCTCTCAACTATAAACTTTATGAAATCTATTGTAAATACAGATCCAGTGTTTCCAATGAACATTCTGCATCTGGGTTGACTGCTGTAAGTGTAAACCACATGTTATATTTGGAGAATTTGCATTAAAAAAGTAAGGTTTTTCAGTAATAATTTTTAAACATTGATTATAAGTTGAAATAATATTTTAGATACTGCAAGTTAAACAAAACAGTTAAAATTAATTTCATCCATTTCTGTTTTTGAAAGTGGGTACTAGAAAATTTCAAATTACATATGTGGCTCATATGATATCTCATTTGGAGAAGTGCTGATCTAGATAATGCAGGCAGATTCTGAAACTTTATCCTAATCCAAATATTGTCTACCTTTCCCATAAAAGCAAAGACAGGCAGAAATGCTAGCTCAGCTGTAAAGCTAGAGAAAATTGGCTGGCATTCAGAACAAGTGCCTTTGCTTCCTGAAAAACCACATATGAGTTCAAAGACACCCGGGAAGCAGGTCAGGCCCTACAAGCTCCACATTAATACAGCTGTGATTAGCCCTGGCCAGTGGCTCAGTGGGTTAGAGTGTAGTTCTCATATTCCCAAGATTGCAGGTTTGATACCCAGAGGGCATAGACAAGAAGCAACCATGAATGCATAAATTGGTGGAACAACAAATCAAAGTGTCTCTCTCTCTCTCTCTCTCTCTCTCTCTCTCTCTCTCTCTCTCAAATAAATTTAAAACAAAAGAATGCAGTTGTAATTTTAAAACAAAGCTTAAAACTGCACAAGTGAAGCAATCTAAGCAAGAACAGTTTCCTTTCCAATAGCATTTTTGTGTCCTGGAATGGCACAAAACTTAAACAAAGGAGTGAATAAACAAATTCAATGCCCATTTGTATCTTATTTTGGTATAATGTGCTATCTACTTTTTTCCTCATTAAACACCAATATATAAATTTGAAATTATATATTTATTCAATGTATTATATGATAGTCTAAGCTTCATTGTCTTTTTAAAAAATATATATATTTTTATTCATTTCAGAGAGAAAGGGAGAGGGAGAGAAACATCAATGATGAGAGAGAATCATTAATTGGCTGCCTCCTGCACGCCCCCTACTGGGGGGTCAAACCCACAACCTGAGCAGGTGCCCTGATCAGGAATCAAATTTACAAGAATATCTGGCACAGTATTTGCAAGCTTTGCAGAGTGAGAAATTCTTTGTTGCACAGATTTATCCTCTCTGGTCTCCATCCCCAAAAATGCAAGGAATGGGTGCTGTAGATACCTCCAACCCTTAACTTTGAAAAGTCTAACCTCAGCCCAGAGTTACCCCTTCCTCTCCTTAACCCATTCAACACTTAGGTTCTAAATTATTGTGAACCAATAACAACGTCGGAAGTGTGTCTTATTCAACTGCACATTGTGGTTGCCAGCAATCTGACAGTTACTGTGAGGACTGAATGAGATGTGACAGGTGGCTTGCTCGCTTTGCTTAGTGCCAAACACTCGATAAAGGTAACTGCTGTTACCATTGTTATAATTATCATTTTTCTTACACACATGACCTGTTTTCTCAAGGAGGTTGTAAAATTTCTGAAGAAAAGCTAAGTCCCTTGGAGACCTCTGCACGTTCTCCATCTCTTCTCTCTGC